CACTTGTGATGATCAAGTGAATTTTCCATCAATTTGTTGTAAAAATATTACAAAACTCAATGTACACGCATTTTAGCACAAAATGTTCCTGTCTCTAATCAGAGAGTAATTAGCACATGCTTACAACTGAAATGTTGCCATTTGTATATATTTACAGTACTTCTTGAGATGAAATACAGTATAACATGTTTTTAGTCATTTCATTTGTAAATTTACTCAATCTAGTAAGTCCATAAAAAACTCTTGGGTATGCTATTTCCAAAGAGATGTGATTGTCATAAAACTTTTCCAGTTTTGGGACTAAGTCAGAAAGGAATTTGTTGTTTTTCTTCACATGTAAAACAATTAAATAAACAGTGTCAGAGAGTACCAGATCAGTCCAGGATGATTTAATGCAAAGCATCAGCTGCTGGACTTGGTAATAGAACTTATGATTCTTGTTGACCACCAACCCATGAGAAGTGTCTCTACATATACCACGCTTACACACTGCCTCCTTTAGAGACAGGCCATCTGTGAAGATTCGCTTTATCTCCACTAGTCCTCCATGGGCTTCCCCATCTGGAGAGGCCCCAAGGAAAGGATAACACTGAGATATAACAAAACCTGTTTCACTGACTTTGCAATCTGGTTTGTTTTCATATAGCCATATGATCTTCTTTTCATCTTTCAGTCTCTGTTTCATTTTATTGCTTTGGTACTGACTGTTATAGTGTAAAATTTCCTTCATTGCCTTTGTTGGGCTAGTAGAACGCTTTAATAATGCTCGCTTGCTCTGAGACTCTGTAATACGAACACGTCTGTGTTCAAACCATGCCAGACAGTTACTTTGAGCTTTTGTGGCAATTGCAATGTTCTGTCTCTCTTGATCAGTAACCATGAGATTTCTCTTAATTCTTTTGCCCGGTCAAAAATCTCTGTGAGTGAGACAGGGTGCTCTTTAATCGGAGAGATAATTTCATTTTTATTTTGGTCAAGTTTTTCACCAGATAGTAAACAGAAGAAACCACAATTTGGTTTTACTCTTTTGATTTTATCGAGCAGTTCTGTGTTGACTTTTTTCGAATCATTGTTCCTTTCAGATGGACGTCTTGGATCATTCAAAGGTTTGACATTGTTTGTTTCTTCTCTTCTTTAAATATTTTTGAGAAATCAATTTCATAAACTGACTGAGAGTCAAGCTTCCTCTTTCTTGGCTGATTCCAACTCTGCAGTCTTGAGGTACACGTTTCAAATTCCCGTGTGCACTTAAGTCTCACAAATTCTTCAAGTGCATAACAAAGAGCTCCTATATGTTTACAAGAACCACGTGGACCTTTGCCAGCTGGGCAAGCACAGCTGGCAAATGTAATGCATGTTACCTTCATGTCCACCATTATTACACATTGAGAGCTTCATGTTATACTTCAAGTTTTTTTTCATTTCAGGTAAGCAGTCACATCGAATATGTACCTTCTCGTTGTCGTCCCGAGCGATTTCCAGTTTTTGGATGTTACCATGTCAAAACAAACCGAAAGCTTTGCTGCTGACATTCTTGTAATCTTTGTTACATTCATTATCTTTAGCTTTTCTTTCAATAAAGTAAGACACGATATTTTGAATATTAAAAGAAGGGAAATCGTCCTTCACGTCAACCAGTGAAACCCACTGTGCAGATTCAGGGAAATCACAATTGACGGTCGCCGTTTGGTCCTCTGGTTTACTTGCTGCCAAGTGTTGCCACTTCTCCGTAAAATTATTCTGCCAACTATTTTTGATATAACTGATGACCCTACGGCGAATAAAACAAGTCGGTATAAAACTCATGCTTCGAAATTCCCTCTAAGCAATGGCAATAATTATAAGTGACAAAGGAAAGAGTACCATATAACCCCATACATTAATTATGCATTCAATTTCATTAATTATGTATGCACCCCATTGTTTTTAAGATAATGGCTTATTCCCATGGGTTTAGCATATATACATTACTAATAAGTACTTGCTACTTCAATAAAAGAGAAATTGATTGAAAGCGGCTTTTTCGTCTCCATTCCTTTCTCACGTTCTTCTCCCTTCTCCCCTTTGTTC